CGCCTCACTCCCCCGGGGGGGAGGCCTGCAGCAGCCGCCGTCACGGTGGCTCCTGCAGGGCTGCAGGGATCAGGCCTGGATGAAGTGACCCTCACTCCTCAGAGAGAATGAGAAGATTTGTGTTTCAAAAGACCATTCTGCTATTCTGAGGAGAGTGGAATGAAGGGGTGAAAGTGGAGGAGGGAGGACGTTTGGGTCACTTTCCGCTGATTCAGGTCAGAAAAACAGCATCCTTCATTAGTCAGAATGAGGGATCAGGTGGGGACAGCCAGGTTTGACCCAGCATCTGTGCCAAGCCACTCAGTTTCTCTGTGCATGAGCTCTCCCATTGCCGATGGGAGTCACTGCTTTCGGACCTCAACACCGAAACGTTACTGCACCAGGAACCTCCAAGCTCAGCCAGGATCTGGGGCACCTGGGGGTCTGGGGTGGAGAGGAAGGTCGGCGGCCCACACTTGAGTGTGTCCAGGTGTGTAACGGCACGACTTCGTGGTAGGAGGGGCAGGAGGGGGCCCCTGAGGTGACAAGGGATTGTGGGAGTGGTGGCGCAGTTAAACACAACGCTTCTCTTCTGTTAGGCTGGATGGGCCTCAGGGAAGTATTTTTGTAACATGCCTGCTTTTGTATGTAGTAGAGCAGGCAAGGTAAGTTAGGCCACGGGGAAGACTAAAGTAAGGGGTCTGGCCCAGCCCCTGCGCTGTACTGCATGCTAGAAGCCACATGCCCAGCATGGGCTCAGACCCTGGGTCGGCCTGAAAACATGCTGGGCACATGCATGTGGGTCCAAGGTCCCAAGGAACAAGAAGGCCAGAGGAGGGGAACCGTGGCGTGATGAGCCCTGTCGAGAGTGCTTCTCTCTGTCTTTGTCTCTCTCTCCTGTGAGAGAGACAATGCACTTCTTTATAAAAACAAGCAGCACTAGGAGTCTGAGCTTCGTTTAACAGCTGCTTGACTGAGTGGCGGAAGGTGAAGGTGGCTGGTTCTGGACACGCCTCTGTAGGATGAAGGGTCCCGAGTCTGCCTTTTCTTGAAGTCTTGTTGGCACTCAAGCCCTCGGGAAGTGCGCCAACCTTCTGACAGGGCATCACAGCTGCGGATAAGCCTCTCAAAGAGCACCATGTCGTGGGGACGAGTGATTGTGCTTACAAGGGACCCTTCATCAGACTCTCCTCAGATCTCTCAGCAGAACCTGGAAGGCCAGGAGGGGGCGGGAGGGCATATTCTCAGTGTTGCAAATGTGTCTAAATCTTAGCTACCCACAGTCTGTTTTTATAACTAATGATTTCACTAGCACATTCAACATGTCTGCTCTAAAATATGCTTATGTGTGTAGTTTGTTGAACAATAATGCATGCGCTTTCTTGCCACCAGAACTGCTACGTTTGATGCCTTGTTCTCTGACTCCCTCGGACGCTGAGATAGAGGCTGCTGTGCCGTGACGGACTGTCCAGATACGCTGTTCCTCCCAGCTCGTTTGAACGTCACGTGGAACAGCCGTAACTTTCCAATGCACCGTAACAGAAGCCAGCTTTAGTGATGTGCTCTCCATGCTTTCTGTATTCTAGTCTGCTCCCAGTTTTCAAGAGGAGTCTATGCCATTTTTGGATTTTACGACAAGAAGTCTGTGAACACCATCACGTCGTTCTGCGGGACGCTGCACGTCTCCTTCATCACCCCCAGCTTCCCGACGGATGGCACGCACCCCTTTGTCATTCAGATGAGGCCCGACCTCAAGGGGGCACTGCTGAGCTTGATCGAGTACTACCAGTGGGACAAGTTCGCCTACCTGTACGACAGCGACAGAGGTGAGGCCCTGTCTGTCTCTCTTCGTTGGGGCTCGTTCACACCTGCACCTGGCCTGCAGATGTGACCTCCAGAACCACACGGCTGTGGTAAGGCCCGGGATCGCTCGGCTCACTTTTGCTGTGTACATGCACAGTACAGTTTGAAACCTGGGAGACACAAAGCAAAATAACAGAAGGAGCGGTGGGCGTGTGATTTACAGGTGGCCACGCGGACACGCGAATGCACAGTTCGACCACGAAGCCCCGTCCTGGCCTGGGCAGCTGAGACCTTTTGACAATATTACCGTGCAAGGCCAATAGAGGGGCTTCGGCGAAATCTAAGTGAATGTGGCAGTGCGAGCACCCAGTGATCTGTACTGGTCAGGGCTGCTGTGGAGGGCGCTGCACCCACCAGCAGCATTATTAGTGCCCGCTCTGACACAGGTCTCCAGGTATCAGAGCGCTTGCAGCTTCTCATGACCACACATGATGCAGCCAGGCAGTCCTACTGCAGACCCAGGCTGTGACAGCTCATGGGGCAGTCCGTGATGAGGGTTGGGCTACTCCGCCAGCCCTGGCCCTGGGCGGATGTGGTGAGGGAGCCCCAGCCTCCAGGCTTGCTGTGAAGCCCAGTGTGAGGAGACCTGCTCGACCACACGCCATGGAGCCCCCGGCATTCTTGGACAGCCCTGGGTCTAAGATGGGCATCGGGGGTCTGCGTGACCCAAACCGTGTGGACCACTGGGTGCACATGTTCTATGTGCGTTTCTCAGCACGGTGGCGGGGTTAGGGCCACGGCTTTCAGAGAACCTCAGGGCCACCCTGCTTCCCCCAGCAGCCTCTGTCCTGGAGCCTTCTGAGATTCCCGTGAAAACAGGAAGCCCATTTAGCCCACGACAGGGTGCCGGGCTGACCCTCAGGGGCAGGCAGAAGAGTCCATGGATCGCTCGGAGGTGTCTGCTCTGCGGGTTCTCTGCCCCGTCCTCCTGGGCCGGAGCAGGACCCTGGTGGAGAAGCCAGCCAGCTCTCAGCTCTGCATGGACAGAGAGTAACCCAGCAGGTCTGCGCTGACCTGCCTGGAGCGGGAGTGCTGCCTCCTCTGCCCATTCCTGCAGGGCCGAGCTGGCCCAGCACACGGGGAGGAAGCAGGGTTTCCATGTGCCGGGCGTTCTGGAGGGTCCTGGAGCGCATGAGGCTCCAGACCAGAGCATGCTCAGGCACCCACAGGCGACCCTGCCCTCCGTTAGCCCCTAGCGACTCTGTCTGGCTAAGCCTCGCCTGGCATCAGCACACGTGCCTTCACCTGGTGCACTGCTGGCCTGGCTTCGGCCTCCGAAGTCCGCACCCTCTCTAGGCACTCGTCCCGCCTGCAGGCCTCACCACACCCCACCGGGGCTGTCCGGTCCCAGCCTGCCCTCCATGTGCAGTCCGAGAGCGGGGGAGGGCCCCCTCCATGGGACTGTGCTAACCATCACTCCCCGGTTTAGACACCCAGTGGGCTCCAACCACACCGAGGGCAACATACACATTCCGGCACGGTCATAGGCCTTAGAGTGCCACCCGTCCTGCTCTCCAGCCGCCGGCACTCCCTGAACATGAACCCCCCTGACATTTTGCATATCCTTGGAGCCCCGAACTCCCCTGGGCCTCTGCCGGGCTCACACTCAGTTCCCTGGAAAGCAGTTCACCATTGTGCTCCCTGGGCGACCTCTGCTGTCCTCTGTGACAGCTGCGCTTGGTGGCAGGGCTGTCCCAGTCACTGACCTGCGTGCTGTGCTGGCCCTGTGCTCGGGAGGCGACCGGGGCACGAGCACCTGTGACCTGTGTGCCCGGGCGAGTCGGGGCTGGGCGCTGTCGGGGCTCGGAGCACGGCGTCACCAGAGACTGGGCCAACCTCCGTGCTTTTCAGTCTAAGAGGACATAGAAGCCGAGGGTCCCCCAATCCCCTGACCTTTCCTCTGACAGAGTGAGTCTGGGAGCAGTCCTCACACCGCCCGCCCTTACTGTTAGTCTCTCCAGGTAAAACTGGATTGATGAGAAAACTCAAAGAAGCAACAGCTAATACCAGCAGAGAAAGGGACACTAGTGTTTGAACAGGGAGACTGAGAGACCGGCTCCCGGGTCAGCTGTGAGGGTGGAGGGAGGTCCTCGTGAAGAGTCTGATACGTTTAAACGGTCTTATGGATACTTGAGGAAAATTAAATAAAACGGAAGTGGTGAGATAATCTCCAATTATTAAATTATACAAATTGATTTGAGCCCAAGTGCACCCGTCAAGAGAACGCCAGAGCGATGGTTTAAGGATTATGTACCGAGGCCGGACCTCCGCTCAGGGATTAGCAAGCGCTGTGGGCGACTGTCCACGTGGACAGCACTTCCCAGCCTCGTAGAAACCGCTCTCAGAAGTGCACAGCTCTGAGAACGCCGGCCAGGGCCTGGGCTTGGTTGTACTTGGTCTGTGGAACTGGGACTTTACATTGGAGTGCTTTCTTATTAACGATGGTGCTCGTGACTGTCCCTCACATCACGTTTGCGACGTCAGTGCAGACGTCACGTGTCTGCCCTCGCGCTCGCTGCGCTCTCTCGCTTCAGGAGCTGCTCGGCCTCCTGTTCGGCGGTCAGGAGTATGTCCCGTGTGCACACCGACCTGCTCAGAGACTGCACGGGGTGGCCTCGCGGCCGCAGTCCCCAGTCACTGGGCGTTCCCCAGGTGGCCTCCCAGCTCCTTGATGGCAGACTGTGTCCAGGCTCAGGGTGCTGAGGTCTCTGAGAAGCCGCACTGCTCGGGGAGTACCAGCACCAAGGTGCATAAACTCACGCTCTTTCGACAGCACAGACATGCCAATGGCACTCAAGGCTCAACCTTGAAAATGAACTAGATGAAAAAGCCCTAAAACTGTTCATGGTGCTCCACCCCCAGTCCTGCGAGACCAGTGAGACGGAGCATCCCTGCCCCCTACCACCTGGCCTGACTCTGGGCAATAGGTCCAGGGACACCCTCTGAGATCGGGGGGCACGGCCGCCGGGTCTGCGTGCGGAGCACCTCTGACAGCCAGGCCTTTGCTGGTGAGAGCAGGGCTGGCCTCTCCTGCACCTGGGTCTTTCAGGCTGCTGGTGTCTCCTCTGCACCAGGTCTCGGGAGCAGCCTGCACGCTGGTGCCCTCACACCCTCAGAAAGGAGCTCGTCACTGCTGAGTCCCCAGGGAGGGGAGTGGGTGGACCTTCGGTACACTTTAACTAAGAGAAGGGCGGTTACGTTTGCCCAGACGTTAAATGTCACAGTTTCATGTTTAGACACAGACACAGCAAATCAGAACCAGGGCTGGACTAAGATGCAGCCTTGCCGGCTCCATGTCGAGCAGGTAGGTGGCAGCGCCTACAGGGAGTCGGGACTGATGCTTCGTGTTGCCACATCTTGGCTGAAATTTTGAGCAGCATCACTTGTCCCCTGCAAAGGGAAGGCACTTTGAATCCTGGTCCAAGGAAACATCTTGCAAAGAACAAAATTACTTTCACATTATAAATTTCCTTGCTGACACCCCAGAAGGGAGGTGAGGGGAATGGAAGCTGGTCCGGCCTGGCCCTGGCCTGCTGCCATGACTCAGTGGCCATAAATATTCATTTCGATGCCTGAAAGAATGAGTAAGGACAGTGAATTTTGAATAGAACAAAGAAAATATTTTAAAGAAGAGAGACATGGTATGAATGAGATATACCGTGCTAAGTAATGACTTCTAATTTCACCTGGTCATGCGCAAATGGCATCTGGACCTCCCCGGTCTCCACGCTGGCTTTCTGTGGCTCCTGCATTGCCAGCACCGGGCCCCGGGGGAGCCCGCCGACAGCCAGTTACTGTCAGAGGTTCGGGAGGGCATGGGCTTGCACACAGGCGCCGTGGTACAGCCAGGTGGGAGCAAAGGGGGCCTGAAGCAGTCATGCAATTTAACCATATTTTAGTCTAGCTATTCTTTGTAGCTGCCAAACATCTGAGGATTCGCTAGAAGTTAGAGTTTTATTTTGGACTCACAATATTCTTGGAACATAATGTGTTTTCAGTACACCTGTTCAGAGGAAAAGCCAGTAAGTGTTTTTCTGTGTTTAGGTGGATAACCACGAGTCTCAGCAGCGTTCTCTGCACTAGGTAATCCGGCAATAGGAAAGCAGTCTCTGTTGTGGAAACCCGAGCATCACATGACCACAGCGTGGCTCCAGAGCCGGCTGCTACTTGGTGGTAGTTTCAAATAAACTCACGTCTGTCCGGCGTTCCCTTGTCCACACAAGTATCTCCTCTCAGTGGCGGGGGGACTGCACCCTGACAGTCTGTCGGAAGGGAAGACCCTGCAAGTATGCTGTCTCCTCTCTGTCCAGTGTGGCCACGAGGCCAAGAGCGAGAGACGAGTGATGTTTGAGGAGTTTAATTTTACCTCAGTGAGGTTTCAATTTAAAAATAATTTGTTAACTATGAAGCAATCAGACTAATACAAAAATGCCAAAGTACTAGTTTAACTTTTCGGGAGGGAAGTCCCGTGGCTGGGCCAGGCAGTGGTGTAGCTGGGTCACTGGCCCCACGTGGCCGACTGAGGTTTGAGTCCCAGACCCAAAGGTTGGAGAACACGCCAGGAGTGCGTGTGTGCCCGGATCCTGAGAGGAGAGTGGAGGGGCAGGACTGCGGCATGGCTGTACCCCAGGGTACCTTCTCACTCGCCCTCCCTGTCTCCACTGAGCACTGCACCTGTCGCAAACGAAAACTGACGACATAAGTCTCCTAGTTGTCCTTCTCGTGCAAGTCAGAGGTAATAGGTGGACAGTGAGGAAGCATGTAAGAAGTGTGTAACGCACATGGCGCTCAAAGCAGAGTTACTGACGAACAATAAAAGAGCCTTCTATTTAGGGAGCGGGCTCAGCCTGCACTGGAAAGCCAGGCGCCGCCTCTGGGCACCAGGCGACCGCTTCCATCTCCACAAGGTCAGCTCCAGCGGCAAAGCGCATGTAGCAGGAGGCGGTGGAGGGACGCCTGCCGACTGGAAAGCCGTAGAGAGGATTGGGGCCGATGCCCACAGAGACGTAGACCCGTCTCACCGCACGCTGCAGGACACTAACCCCGCAGGGCAGACCGCCATGCACGCCAGGGTGTTCTTTCCATGCCCCGGGAGCTGCTGTCACGGGGAGCAGAGGTGCAAGGACTTCTGTGACACCTGAACGAAGGTGCTGGGCGCTGGGAGGGTGCGCTCCCCCTCAGAGGTGGCTCCGTGGTCGGGACACTGGCACTTGGTGACCGAGCTCCGCCACAAAGCAGGGCAGCGTGGATGTGGGCTCCTGGAGTCAGGGCACCTCGGCTGCACAGACACATCCCCTTAAAGTGCACCCATCGGGTTTGAGCTGCTCGGCTGGGTCCTCACAGTCCCCGTGTTTCTCTGCCCTCCAGGCCTGTCCACGTTGCAGGCCGTGCTGGACTCGGCGGCCGAGAAGAAGTGGCAGGTGACGGCCATCAACGTGGGCAACATCAACAACGACAAGAAGGACGAGACCTACCGCTCGCTGTTTCAGGACCTCGAGCTGAAAAAGGAGAGGCGCGTGGTCCTGGACTGTGAGCGAGACAAAGTGAACGACATCGTCGACCAGGTGGGTGCCCCGCTTCCCGGTGGTCCCGAACGCAGGGCACGTGCCCGGTCAGCGTCCGCAGCCCGTGTGTGGGCGCATGGTCTAGGGGTGCCGCAGCAGGGGCTGTCAGTGAGGCCGACTCTGGCCCGAGTGCCGGCGGTGGGTGGGCAGCAATGCTGGCACTGCATGCCACCACCACGTCCGACTGGAGTGCCCGGCTTGACATTTCACGTGAGCGGTGGCACCTACGGTGTGAGAGTTTGGATCAGAAATTTAAAATTTTAATTCTCTTGAACTTTTTTGGAGTTAAATTAACATATTAAGTCAAGGTCTCGGTTTCAATGGGAAAGTGAGTCATTGATATTCTTTAAAAGAATACGTGGGTTGCTTCTATCAGTGTGTGCAGTATGATACACTTCCCGTGGTGCTGTCTAAATAAAGCTGTGTCTCCAGAGAGAGCAGAGATTTCTTTGTAAATCAATACTTCATGCCCCTTCTATCAGGGGATTTGTGTTCACTCTAAGAAAACACATGAATCTGGGAGATTAGCTTCTGTGGGAGGGGCACATTCAGGCTGTGGTCTCTGCTGGACAGGGGGACTGCAGGTCACGGGAGACAGAGGGTGCCCTTCTGTGAAGGTGTCCTGTGGACTGTCTGAGAGCCATGGGAGACAGGGGATGCCCTTCTGTGCAGGTGTCCTGTGGACTGTCCACAAGAGCCATGGGAGACAGGGGGTGTCCTTCTGTGCAGGGACTGCAGGTCACGGGAGACAGAGGGTGCCCTTCTGTGAAGGTGTCCTGTGGACTGTCTGAGAGCCATGGGAGACAGGGGATGCCCTTCTGTGCAGGTGTCCTGTGGACTGTCCACAAGAGCCATGGGAGACAGGGGGTGTCCTTCTGTGCAGTCTTCTGGTGGGTGGGACAGGAGAGCCACGGGAGACAGGGGTGCTCTCCTGTGCAGGTGTCCTGTGGACTGTCTGAGAGCCACGGGAGACAGGGGTGCTCTCCTGTGCAGGTGTCCTGTGGACTGTCTGCGAGAGCCGTGGGAGACAGGGGTGCCCTTCTGTGTGCACTGCATGGCACTGAAGAGCTTTCAGGATGGAACAAGCATGCAGGGGACCCTGATGACACAGAAAAGCCACTGTGTCTATTGACCAGGGATGGGGGGATGGAGGTGACAGGACACAGCCCTACACAGTCCGAAGCATGGTCACTGTCATCCTGTCTGTGTCCTCTCCTGGAAGATTGTGTGAGCTTGCACACACACACACACACGTTACACGCATACACGACTGCTATTTCCTTGGAGGATCAGGTCAGAAGGAAAATACTGGGTTGAGTATGCATGTCCTGGCCCTTGTAGTTGCTGAGGGAAAAGTTTCACATTACGTTGGCTGATCTGTAATAGGACACCCAACCGTCTGCAAACAGAAGTGGGAGATGCCCTGGCGGCATGAACACTCCAGCCCCCCATGCGTGCTACAGGGAGGCTCATGAAATACTGAAGGACTGAAGGGGAGGAACTCGTGCTGAGGCTGACTCGATCCAGCCAGGAAGGTGCATTCTTTCAGTAACGGGTCTTGACCGCGGTCTCAGAGAGGACGTGAGGGCTGCTACTAACCCGAAGGCTTCTCATTCAAACGTGACCCTCAGAAGCTCATTTGACTTTCGCAGGAGGCCCTCATTAAAACTGAATTTTAATAATATTCACTAGTTCTTAGTTTAACAACTTGAAGCATTCCCGAGCCACCATAATGAATGCTGACAAAAGCATATGTAAAAATAGCACTTCCCAGAACCAGAAGAGAGCCGGGGAGGGCCTGGGCTTATCCGGAAGATGACATTTGGAAGCGGATCTGTGCTCACAGACACACAGCATCCATGTGGACACCCACTCACATGCTCCTCTCTCAGTGCACACTGAGCTCTCCAGGGCCCACCAGGGTTACAACTGACATTATACGTTCTAGCCCTTTCTGTTGCAAGTAACCAAGAACTCCCGAGTCTGGTAACTTATAAAAACAGAAGTGTATTCAGCCCACTGCATGGAGATCCGAGGCCCAGGGCTGCACCCGCTCAGGGTCTCCCGACTGCAGCCCTGGGGTCAGGAGTGCAGGTGTCAGTGTCTGTGTGTCTGTCTCCTCCCTGTCCCTACAAACCCCCAGGCTCCAGGTGGAGGGATCCCGATGACCTGGAGCTCAATCTCCCCCACCAACTATGCCCTGACTAAGCTCTTTCCCTTGGTACCATTAACTGGACCAGGCCCAAACAGCACCGCTGCTTTCTTAGCTCCCGGGATGAGGGCAGGGCATGCAGTGCCAGCAGGGGTGGGCAGGTGGCACGCGGGCACAGGCTGGCTGCTCGCCGAAGCCAACCCCTCTCAGTTCTATTCAGAAGGCCTCCTCGCCTCCCCCTCCCTCCCCCAGGTCGGGCCCTTCCTGGGCTCATCCTCGCTCATGGGAAAGCCCAGACCCTTCTCCCCGGGGCAGCAGCCGATCATGGTGCTCAGGAGGGCTGCGCAGGGACTCTGTGCTAGAGCGAGCTTCCCGTGCAGTGACTCTGTGCTAGAGCGAGCTTCCCACGCAGAGCACGCAAGATGGCCAAAGCCAGGAGGTGAATGGGGTGCTTTGTGCTCCCACAACTGAAGGGGGCAGATGTGGCTAGAGAGTAGAGAAGACCGGGGGCCTGGAGGCCGGCAGTTTGGGGACCGCAGCAGAGCAGTGTCTGAGTGTGAGGCTAACGCAGAGAGAGGCCCCCAAAGGGCTGAACCGAGGAGAACAGACAGCCCGGGGTCTGCCCGCCGCTGGCCTTTCGGGCGCGACTGGTGTGATAGCATCGGGGTGCAGCTCTGCACCAAGACTGCGGCCCCCGCGCCCCACTGCCTCCGTAACTGACGCAGACCGGTGGGAAGTCCGCCGAGCCAGCAGTGGCCAGGGTGCGAGTCCTGGTGGGCGTGTCCAGCTCCCCGCGTGGAACGTGACTGTGGAGAAGAGCTCGCTCCTCTGCGACCTCGCTGACTAGAGCTGTGACGTGTTCAAGACCCTTAGGCTGGAAATCTAATTGTGTGTGTTCACGTGCGAATGCGTTTACACGTCATCAGTATTCCCGTTACATTCCGGTAGTATCGATTCTACGTGCGGATCTCCGAGTAGAAATGTGGCTATAAAGTCCCAGGTTGGCTTCAGCTGTTTAATGTCCTGTTCAAAGAAGGAACGGTTTTCATGGGAATAAAATGACCACTTGTTGGAGATTAAATCCATTTTGTTCTAACATTTCTTAAAATTTTGTGGCCTTATTTTTACTATTGACAAAAATGAGGTAATTATTTTACTTAGTTACTGACTCCTTGACAGGTAATGTTAATTTATCACTGAGACATGTCGTTATTACTTTTCTGAAAGTAGCGGTCTCTGGGGTTGATGTTATTCTGCCAAAATGCCTCACCAGGACACAGAGTGAAAGCTGTTCTTTCCTGTCGCTAGGTCATCACGATCGGAAAGCACGTGAAAGGGTACCACTACATCATCGCGAACCTGGTAGGTGCATCCCTGTGCCCGGCGACTAGACGTGCACACTGAAGTCCACCTCGCAGGGCCAGAACCGTCAGCGTGCTTCCTAAAGCACAGCTGATTCTCTGGGATAGGTCCCGGTCACCACGCTTTCCCGAGTGTGCTCAGTCGGCTCCCCATTGCAGCTTTCTTTTTATTTGAGAGAGAGGTTTTTGCTACAGGGTAATGCACTCGCCAGAGAGACAGGGAGACACAGAGAGACACAAAGTGAGAAATCAAACCCCGGGGAGGATGGCCGCGCCGCAATCCCTTCTCCTCTATTCTCCTCCCGGGATTTTGGGCATGCATGCACAAGTACCCGGCCTGAGTTTCAAGCCACCAAGTCCAGAACTTGAACTGTGGTCAGTCACGTGGAAACCTGCAACATAACCACTAGGCCATCTCTTTGCTTCCTAATCAATTTCCTGTTACTAGAGACATTGCAAGAATGTGTCATGTGATCTCTGATGAGCTTCAGAAACTGTCTTAAAAGAGAAAATTTTCAAAAACACTTGAAGTTCAATCGCCCACACCTCTGTTCGTCCCTGTCAGTGTGTTCGGAAACTTCCCTGGAGTCTCACGCTGTCTAGAATGAGCTCTAGGCAGGGGAGGGGCGGTCACCGAGAGGAGCGTGCTCTGCACACGCTTCGCTGTTCTTAGGGAGAAATCGAAAGCAGGTGTGGATCCGTGAGGCACGTCTTAGTGCAAAAGCCTGAGACGCCGGGACACTGGTCTCTGGTAAGTTTCTGATTTCCCATTTACTATAGCGGAAATTAAGTTCCTATCGCCAGTCACTCTGGAATCCTGCCAAATTAAGATTACACTGAAACAATAAGGTAGCTCATTGTTTTTCTCTCTCTTAAGTATAATTAGTCAACTTAAAATTATTACCAGACATTTCTTTTCTCGAAATGCTTTTTGGAGTAGCTGTAAAGGGAGATTAGGGCTGCACTGTTGTAGTTTATGTTCTTTAAATGAGTATACTCTTACGTGGCCAGGCTCTTCCCCTCCCCCACCCCTGCGTGTATATCTGAGAGTGAGAGAGAGAGCGTGAGAGAGAGAGAGAGAGAGAGAGAACGAGAGAGCGAGAGAGAGAGCGACAGAGAGAGAGAGAACGAGACAGAGAGACAGAGAGAGTGAGACAGAGAGCAAGAGAGAGAGCGAGAGAGCGAGAGACAGAGAGAACGAGACAGAGAGAGAGTGAGAGAGAGAGAGCGAGACAGAGAGAGAGCGAGAGAGAGTGAGACAGAGAGCGAGAGAGTGAGAGAGAGCGAGTGAGAGCGAGAGAGAGCGAGCGCTTACCCTAGATAGCATAAGCATCTGGAAAGGCTTCCCGTTTATACAAGCGTGGGTTTATCTCAAGTGTTCTGGAGTATCTGAGGTCCCACCAGAAGACATTACTTCTGACAGTGACGAAAAGAGAAACCAAACAGAACTCACTGCCCTACAAGCCACCGCGTCCCCACTGGAAGGCGTGTCAGGACTTAGGACGTCGGTCGCAGACCCCATGCCATGTGGGAAGCTGGTTGTTCTGGCTGGAACCCGTGTCGGGCCCTGCAGCACAGAGTAGCACGGAGCAGCACGGACCTTCTGCAGACCTCCCAGTGGAGCACATGGAGGAGCCGCGGGATCCCTGCAGAGAGGACGGGGCTGCAGGGGTGGTGTTCCATGCCCGGCGCCCAGAACGCGGCTCTGCAGGGCAGCCTGCCGGGCGCGGGGATGGTGTGCCGTTGGACCAACGCCGTGTGAGGCCACACTGAGACCTGCAGTCCTTAGACGCATGCAGGTGGGGATGTGGGGACACAGAGAAGTAAGGCAGAGGGCTCTCCATGGAGAGCCCACAGTGACGCTACAGAGGAGAGGCACCTTCGCGAGACCACGATGAGGAGGAGGATCCGCACGGCTGTCCTGCTTCCAGGGCGAAGCCTGCCTGCTGGTCATCTGGGCTCAAGTTCTGTTTTCCTTTTTCTGAATACTTGGTTTTCTCGCCTGTGGAACTTCTTCTCAGTCCACAAATTCAAAGTCCATAGAATGCAGCAGCTTCTGGGAGTTTCCGAGTCACCACGTGGGCATTTCACGGATGTTGGAAGTTGCCTCCAGAGCTGAAAGGCTCTCATCTGCCCAAGTCTTCACCAAGAATGTCCCCGCGCAGTGTGGAGAGTGCTGGTTACAAAAGACAATACCCTTGGTTCCATGCGCGATCTATGCCCAGGACGATGGTGCTTGCTGTCCTGAGGCTGGGTTCCTGGTACGAGATGTCTGTACAGATGCACTGACGTGTGCGCTCCCACAGAGCGAGTGAGAGGAGGGGAGGGAGGAGTCACCCCAGGGGCTGGCCACGCCGCACCCCTTCTCCTCCAGGGATTTTGGGCACACACGCATATGCGCCTGGCATGGCTTTCAAGTCACCAGGTCTGGGACTCGAAACGGTCACGAGGGACCCAGCACCGTATCCCCACCCCTGCTGGCCCTGCGGAGCACGGAGAAGATGCCCTGCACGAGGCGTGACGAAGGCGTCCGTGTTCAGCGGGACCCGTTCGCGTCCCCGTGAAGTGAGCAGCCGTGGCTCCCACACCTGCGTGTCCC